CGGGAAACCAGCAGCAGGCCCTGGTCCCACCCCCACCCCCAGGGTTCTGAATGGGTGATGGACCACAATGTCCACCACAGTGCCGGTCACACCTGGTACCCATTGGGGAGGGGCCCTACCTTTTCCAGGCCAGGAAATGCAAGGATTTGCTTCTGAACCGGTCCACCTACTGGCTGGCTGTGGCGCTCCCCTGGGTGTATGCCCACCCACAGTCCTGGGGGCCGAGTGGTGCAGGCGGCTGACCCAGGGCCACCTCTCACCACCAAGCACAATGTGGGGAGGAGGGGCCCTTCAAGGGCCCCATTGTTTCCACCAAAGCTGGGGCCTGAATCCCTGCAATTGTCCCTGGGGGCTGGGCAGCAGGACGCACCCCTCTTCCACTGTCCCAGCTAAGAAAGTGGGGCTGAGGCCCAGTAAAGAAACGGGCTTCCCAAGGCTGCTCAGCAGGGTGAAGCCAGCCCAGGAGGCCCTCAGAGGTGTCCCATTGTCTCCTCTGAGGTCAGTCTTTGCCCACCCACCCCTCAAGTGCAACTGGACTTAGCTAAGGACTCAGGGTCTCCTGCCTTGTCCCTGTCGGGGTCACACCTGGCTGTGCTCCCCCTCACCTAAAGGAAGAGGGCCGGAGTGGCCCACCAGGACTGTATCAGAGCTAGGCTGGGGGCCCTGGGGGTAATAGGTGGCACCCAGGCTCCTGCCTCCCACTGCTCCTTGTGTGAGCTCTGGCCCTGTCCAGCCCTGACTGCTCTTCTGGGTCCAGGCAGGAAGAGGTACAGAGGGAAGGATGGGGCAGTCAAGAGCACATAGCATCAGGCCCAGCCCAGATCACAGAATACCCTTTATTCCAACCCCGGGGTCCCTCAGGCTCCCTGAAGTGCAGCCACTGCTGGGTGGGTGAGGTGGGAGCTGAGAGAGGGAGGGGTCTCATGCCCTGCAACAGTCCTGGGGTGGACACTCTTGAGTGTCCTTTCTGGGCTCAGAGGGTCTGGTCTGTCTTCTCGGCAGGCTTCTCAGAAGCCAGGGTTGCAAAGACGGGAACCCCAACAGAGAACTTCAGGTGTCCCCCTCTGCACTGCGTGGGGGATAGGGGACAGCAGTGGTGGTGGCAGTGGTCAGCCAGGGAAGCCATGCCCCAAGTTTTGAAGCACACCATGCAAACTGCCCGGCTCCTGGGCAGAGTGGTCCTGCTGTGCTCTGCTATACCACCTCGCCTACCTGCGTGCATGAGTGCCACACCTGCTCACCAACGCCATCAGCAAGCCTTCCCCCCCACCCGCCCCACAGGGCTGCATGGCTCAGTCCCGCCTGCAGCCAGAGGCATGCGCTGGGAGGCACCCAGGGCTGGGCTGTGTGCTCCCCCAAGTGCTGGCTGTGGGCACTGCAGCATGTTCCCAGGGAGGGTGGGACAGCCCCTCAGCTGTCAAGGGCACAGGTAGGTAGGGCCTTCAGTAGTCTTCTGTGCCACCTCCCAGCAGCCTGGCTGCAGCAGCGGGTGGTAGGAGGTGAGGCTGTTTCCTGGCAACCCCATCCTCATCCGCACAGAGGGTCCCCCTCCACCCACTTGCACCTGCAGGCAGCCCAGAGAGCTCTCCCAGGCTCCATATCCGTCAGCACGAAGGGGCTCATGGGTGCTAGCGTCCTGAAGGGCCCACCTCACCCCACAGGAAGCTGGCAGAACTCACTAGGGAAGGCAGGAGCCGCCTTCAGCAAGGACCTTGACAGTATAGTCCTGGCTTCAGGGCCAGCGCTCTGGGCCCTGTCCTAGAAGATGCTCTCTCTCCTGAGGGGCAGTGCAGGGCGTCGGTTGTGGAGAGGGCAGCGGGGCTGCCAAGTCAGGGGGAGAGAACCAGCCGCAGCCACGTGCATGTCACTTCCTCCACACAGCGCCAACGCCGTGTTACTTTATTACAATGTCAGAGGGGGCCGGCCGGCCGTCACAGCGAAGTGCGGCAGGAGTGGGTGGGGCTGGCCCAGCCGGCCCAGGTGATGGGAGCCCCTGGGCTGTCCAGGCCCCAGTCTCGCAGCAGTACCCAGGTGCTGAATAGCTGGCGCTGCCAGGCGCCGGGCTGCAGTCCCACGTGGGGGCACCTAGGGATGGGGACGAGGCCTGGAATGCATCCCGTGGAATGACAGCGGGCTGGGGCACCTCAGGAGCGGTGGGTCCCTTGAGCTTTCTTGATTTCCTGCCAGGAAGAAGATGGGGGAGGAGGGAGGTAAGAGTCTTGGCGGGGGACTCTGGACAAGGGAGGGCTTGTCCAGGAAGTTGGGAGTGCAGCTTCCAACAGAGTTCTAAGCCCCCAGGGATGAGGCAGCTTCACCTGTCGGGCCCACTCCTATGTGAAGTCCTAGTCCCTGCCCCCCACCCTCAGCCCCCGGGCAGGAGGGGCCCTGACCTCGGAGAGGGCTTCCTTCAGAGTTGAGTAAGCCTTATCCAGGTTGTCATTAATGATGACGAGGTCGAACAGGCCTGGCTCCTTACCTGCAAAAACAGCCAAGGGAGGTGGGAGGTGGGTGGTGGTGGTAGTCCAGGGGCTTCCGAGACAGCCCTTTCTACTCGCCCATCACGTTCCTACCCCTGGTCCACACTACTGCAGACGACATTCACAGGCACTTTCTAGGGACCCTGACTCCGGCTGAGAGCTGGCTGTGACACGGATCTGAGGTTCGTTGGGGCAGCAGCAGGCAGCTCCTCACCGGGCCACATCCTGGGCACTGCCCTCCCCCTCCATAACCGTGCCACACACAGGCGCAAGCTGGTACTGCAGGACACACGGCTCACTGCTGCCCAATCCCCTCTCCTAGTCACACTTGGGCTTGGGGGGCGGGGGGCAGGGGCTCATCCCTTCCTGCCCATCCAGGGCCCCGTCTGCTGTGTCAGACATTCCTGGGCTGCTGGCTGTGTGGACCAGGGTCTACTCCCACCGGCCCCTCTCGCCACTGCTACTCGTGTCTTCCACAGCATCTTCTGTTGGCTCCGCTGTCACTGAAATGCTGCTGCTTCCTGACCACTGAGCAGCAGGCGGACAACGAGTCACAGCCCGTTCCCACACTGGCCTGAATCTGACCAAAGTGGAAGAGAGGAGGCTGTGAGAGGATCCCCAGGCACTCCGACAGTGGACACTGTTGTCTGGGGCAGGCGGAGTCCAGCGCCAAGGGAAGGAGGAAGAGGTCTGGGGATTGACCCTGGTGCCGTGGAGGGAGAGCGGAACACCCCATCTCACAGTGGGGAGCAGAGCTGCTGGGCGGGGCTGGCCGGGACCCTATACTTACTGCTCTCCATGTCGGCCTTGGCGGTGGTCAGCCGCTTAATCAGGCTGTCCTCCGTCTCTGTGTTCCGGGCTCGAAGCCGCTGCTCCTGAAACATACCGTGGGGTTGAGGCTCCACCCAGCCAGCCGCCTCTGCATGCCGCCGCCCGCAGGCCTGCCCACCCTGCACGCACCAGGACCTCGAGGGACGGAGCCAGCACGCAGATGTAGAGGGGGCACAGATCTGTCTTCTTGATGTTCCGCACGCCCTGCAGGTCCACGTCCAGCACGCAGATGCGGTTCATGGCCTGCACCGCCTGTACTGCTGCTTTGCTGTGGGATGGGAGCCCTTAGCCAAGCTGGGGGTTCTGTTTCTCGGGGTCCCTGCTCGTCTCCACCCTCTCCACCCAGGCTGATGGCGTCTGTGTCAGCACTGGTCCCTGTCACCCCCCCAGCACCTTCGAGACTCCTCTCGACTCAATCTTCATCTCACTTCCCGAGCCACGCTCCCTCGGCTGGGGGACATCCCATGAGGGCCAGCACCCCTCAGCCCCAGGCCTCTTCTATCCAGGCCACCTCTGTGGCTACCACCTGTCGGCAGCAGGGGGGCACTGCACAATGGCACCTCAGCCAGCCGGAGGGGTGCTGCAAGGCGGCCTTAATCCTGCTTGCCAGCTGCGGCTAACTGCCACGGCCCGTGTCCTGCTTTGAGTGGCCCTACTTGGTGAGTGCCACCTGGGTCCCCAATGCAGCGCTACCTCCCAAACTCTGTCCTTCCACCTCCTCTCATCACAGCCCTCAAGCTGGCCCAGCCATGAGACCTGGGTCCTAGCTCTCTCTCCAAGCCCCATCTCACGACACACAACACACTCATCCCATCGCCCTGTGGCCTGAAAGCCATGTACCCCGGAGCTGGGTTGCCCAGGGTGCGCCTGGGGGCAGCGGTCTGAGAAAGGCTCACTGCCTGCCCATCGCAGGCTGGCCCTGCAGCTGCAGCTGAGGCTGAACATGAAATGTCACTTGCAGTCGCCTCACCCTCCAGCAATCCTGAGAGACAGCACAGGGCGGGCATGACAGGGCCTGTCTACCTGCCCGCACAGATCAGCTCCTGGGGCCTCATTAGGCAGGCCCTGGTGGGAGAAACAGTGGAGAGCCTGTTCTCTGGGGTCTGCCCTGGCCATGTACAATGGAGAGGGAGGTGCAGTGCAGCCTACAGGCCTGTAATGTTAAGGCTGCGGTGGGTGCTGACACCACCCAGGGCTGAGGCTGGGCAGAGACTAGGATGCTACCAGTTGACTTGGCTCCTGCAGCAGCTGGACACGGGTGGACAAGCTGGCAGGGACCATGCCGATCACCCCTGGGTGGGGGGCCTGGGACCTTGGCTAGTAAGCCACCTCTGGCGTTGCTCGCTGGACCCACCTTGTCCCATACAGGTTCCCTGAGAACTCGGCATGCTCAATGAAGTCGCCCGCAGCAATGTCTCTCTGCATGGCCTCCCTGGTGACAAAGTAGTACTCTGGACAGGACAAGGGAAGGCAGAAAGGGTGTTCTTCAAAGGCCCCACAGCCAGGCTCCAGCAGGGTTCCTGGGGAGGGGTGCTGTGCTCACCTCTGCCATTCTCCTCTCCAGGCCGTGGGTCTCTCGTGGTATCTGCAAACAAGCAGCCAGTGAGCAGGCGGGCTCCCAAGTTCTCCCTGGGCCGATGGCCCTGGGCAGCCAGGAAGCCGTGGGCTCTCTGGTCAGAAGCCCTCACATTCGGCACTTCCATGCCAGGCAGTCTGCACAGGCCCTTGAAGGTGGAAGGAACTCCCTACAGTCCAGCAGGTCTCTGGGCACAAGGACCCACCATCTGGGGCTGTCCTTCCTCCCTGGTGCTTCTCCAATTGGGAGCTGCCCTCCCTGCCCCCGCCCCCCCCCATGCCAGCAGGCAGCCGCCAAGACTTACGGGACACACTAAAGCCAAAGATACTGCCATACTCCTGCATGAGTTTCTTCAACAGGGAGCTTTTCCCGGCCCCCGATGGGCCGCTCAGCACCACCGGTCTCGGTCCTGACATCCCTAGGGGGAAGGTGAACATTAGGGAGATAGCCAGGCCTGTGGGAAGGCAGGCCCCTCCACCAACAGTCAGGCCCACCCTGGGCAGCTGTGTTTACATGGCAAACTCAGCCAGGCTGGTGACACTGATGCGACTCGCAACAGAAAAAGCCAAAGGGAAAGGAAGGGTGCCTTGGGTTAGTGACACAGCTCTGCCGCCCAGGATTCCGGTGACCCCCCTGCCTATCGTGGTGACGCATGGGTCTAACAGGATGGCCTCCCCTCAGCACACAAGACAGCCTTGTTGGGCCAGCCTCCTGCCCACCTGGGCTTCTTTCCCAAGTGGCTCTGTTCATGGGCTGCTGGCTTCTTGGGACAAATGTGGCATTTCCTGCTGTGTCACCTGGTACTGGGGACCGCTCAGGTGGCCTTGTTCCAGGAGCTTCCAAGTTACTAGCAGGGGCAAATGCTAGTGAAGGGGACTGCCCGTTGGGACAACACACCCCACCCCCAATACAGAAAGGATGAACGTGGACTGCAGCTCACCCGACAGCCCCAGAAAGATGGTCAGGGCAGGTCACACTCAGGCACAAGCGGAGCGAGTGGAGAGCCCGTTAGTGGTGCCTTTGGAGATCTGCATTCTTCCTGGCTGCTCCGTGAGCACCCCTGCACTCCACCCACACAAGCCTGCACCCGCCCCCCACCCAGCCCTGAGCCCAGACCTCACCCTGCTCAACTTGCCCTGACTTCTGCCCCACACCTCACTGCCCGCAACTTGTCACATACCCTGGCTTTCACCCCACACCGGTCTTGTTCCCCACACTCCAGCTTGCATCCCTCCCAGGGGGCACGACCCACCTCCTAGTGAAGTTCTGACTTGGCCGTGGTGTCAGGGGTGCCCCGAGCTTAGCACCAGCCGTACAGATGAGCAGCGGAGGTGCAAATGGCTCAGCGCTGGTAGGTAAAGCCGTTCCTAATCCCTGTCAGCCTGCCCTCCGCCCTCCCAGCACTGAGCGCTAAGCCTCCAAGCGGCCTGACAGCAGAGCTAAAGCTGCTCTCCTGCCCCCAGGGAGCAGCCAGCACAGAGACAGGAAGCCAGTGCTTTCCCTTGCCCTTGAGAAGCCACGTGCCTGGCCCACCCACGTGAGTGGGAAGAGGAGGCAGCAAGTCAGGCACCCTTCATGGTCCACACCCTTTGCTCTCAGCTGGGAAAGAGGGTGCAGGGCAGAAATCCAGCCAGCCCATACACTTACTCCTGCTGAGTGGCAGGCTGCAGGCTGGGATTCAGAAATGAATGGGGGAGCCCTGCTCAGGGAAGACAGGCTGCTAACAGCAGCAAGGGCTGGGAGGCTCAGCTTGGGCAGAGGCAAGGGCCCAGAAAGGAGCGTCAGGCAGGCAGAGAAGCTTCCAGAAAACCTCCCTGGCAACCAGAGCCAACCAAGGACAAGTAGCCTCTCAGGACCCAAAGGGAGCGCTCTGGAGCACTCTCTGCTGAGGGTTGTCAGGGAGGCCCGCCTGCCATGGGCAGCTGTGCATCTCCAGCAGCTCCCTAGCCACCTCCCAAGCCGCCAAGATGTGTCCATGCTGGTCTTCCTTCTCCCGAAAAGTAGGCCATCCTCAAGTTAGCTGGACTAGGCCAACACCCCTGATTGAATTACTGCTCGTAGACAAACAAACACTCACACGCACAAGCCCTTTGAGGGCCTTACATGGATGAGTCAAAAAAAAGGAAGGATATTTCTTTTTTTTGTTCTTTTAAAAAATTTTAATAAATCGTTTTATTGGGGGCTCTTATAACAATCCACCCATCAATTGTATCAAGCACATTTGTACATATGTTGCCATCAACATTTCCAAAACATTTTCTTTCCACTTAAGCCCTTAGTATCAACCCATTTTTTCCTCCCTCCCCACCCTTGTGACCCTTGATAAATTATGAATTATTTTTTATTTCCATATTGTACACTGTCCATTGTCTTCCTTCACCCACGTTTGTTGTTCGTCTACCTGGTGGTGGTGCGGTGGGGGGGTGTATGTCGACCGCAATCATCGGTTCCCTTTCTCCCTTTCCTCCTGTCCTCATGGTATTGCTACTCTCGTCACTGGTCCTGAGGGCTGATGTGTCTTGGATTCTGTGTGTCCATGCTCTGGTCTAGCCAGATTTGTAAGCCATGCAGACATGGGTCATGACAGGTGGGGGGTTAAGCATTAAAGAACTAGAGGAGTGTTGTGCATTCGTCGGTGCTCTACTGCAACCTTCCCTGTGACCTTTCTGTGAGGGGATGTCCAACTGTCTATAGACAGACTTTGGGTCTCCATTCCAACCACCCTCGTTCGCATCAAAATGTTTGTGTTTTGGGTCTTCTGATGCCTGATAACTGATCCCACTGACACCTCGTGATCACACAGGCTGGTGTGCTTCTTCCACGTGGGCTTTTTTGCTTCTCTGTTGGGTGGCCGCTTGTTTACCTTCAAGTTTTTAAGACCTTATAGACACTGTATCTTTTGATAGCTGGGCACCATCAGCTTTCTTCACCACATTTTCTTATGCACCCATTTTGACTTCAGCGATTGTGTCAGGAAGGTGAGCATCACAGAATGCCAGGATATCAGAACAAAGTGTCCTGGCGCTGAGGGAGGACTTGAGTAGAGGTCCAATGTCTGTCTGCTACCTTAATACTTAACATATACATATATGTACATAGACCTATATCCCTATCATAATATATTAATATATTTACACATGTACATGCCTATGTTTACACCTCTGTAAATGTCATTTGCCTCCTAGTTCTTTCTTCTATTTCCTTTTACTTTCCTCCTGTTCCACTATCAAATTCAACCTTCATTCGGCTCTCTCTACTAAGGAAGGATATTTCATACCATATGTAGAAATTAACTCAAAATGATAAAGGACTTATATTATATAATGATAAAACCCTCACAAGAAATCACAGGGTAGATTTCATTACTTTGGATTTGGCAATGGATTCTTAGAAATTGAGTTAGTTAATTGTGCCAGCCTGGCCGATAATCACATGTGGGTCTGGTTGAAAGGCGGAGGGATAAATGGGTGGTGAAGCCTCGCCTTTCTAGTTCTCGGGTCTTGTTTTGTGATGGTTGCACCGGGTGCAGCTGCCTTAGCAGTTCCCTGCTTCAGCTTGCAAGATTGACTTCCTATACGACATCCCCAAGGAGAAGCTACATGGACCTATCCCGATGCAACCCTGGGTGCTGGAGCAGCCGTGTGGAGACCCCTGCTAGTGCTGAGATGCTTACACGTTCACTGACTCAGCTTTCCTCCTGCAGTCGGCATTATTGCCTCTGTTTTGTGAGGTGGACGACTTTGTGGACTGGTGTTGGGTTAATGTTGGACTTGTGGGCTTGGGCAGCATTGGGTTGGGATGTTTTCGTGATGCACATTTTCTTTGCATAAAACTCTCTCTTATACATGAGTTGCTGTGGATTTGTTTCTCCAAAGTACCCAGACTAATACAGAAATGAAACAGAAACTACATCCAAAAAAGTAAAAAATGATAGGCTGAACACCATCAAGTTAAAACCTTTGTGCTTCAAAGACACTATTAAGAGGTTATTAGTATGATGGCCCACAGAATGGGAGAGACAACTGCAAGTAATATTTCTGGTAAAGGTCTAATATTCAGAATATTAAGAGTCCTCGTGGTATAATTGGCTGTTAACCGAAAGATTGGTGCTTTCATTCCACTCCATGGCTCCTTGGGAGAACAGAGCTGGTAATCTGCTCCTGCAAAGATGACACTTAAGGGACAGTCTCACTCCATCACACGGGGTCATTATGAGTTAGAATCAACATCCAGCAACATCCAGGTGCACAAAGAACTCCTACAACTCAACAACACATTTTTAAATGGGCAAAGGGTGTGAAGCAACATTTCAGTAAAAAAGATACACTGATGGCCATCCATGAGCACATAAAAATTATTGTCATCAGGAGCATGGATGAAATAGAGTTCCAAAGCTCATCTGCAAAGTAATTGGGCAGTCCCTCTCAGAAAGGCCATGGAACAGATGCTAAATGCAGGGTGCAGTCTGGTACTGATGAGCCACATAAATGTCCTCTAGTTACTCAATATTTCCTCTCCTTACTATTAAGGTATTTATTTATTTTACCTCATTAATCACATTAGATTCACATATGCTCATTTCTATATGTAAGACTGTTTGGGTCTGAGGGGCCGGCCCCAATCCCAACTATGTGGACACCTGCCCCTCCCCCCAGAAGAATTTATTTCAGGGACAGCACTGAAGCTGCAGCTCAGGGGGAGGGACATGTCTGATCAGAGCACACGGGAGCAAATGAAGGGGGAGGAAGAGAGAGTGGAGCACATCCTGGCCCACCAAGCATTGACGAAGAGATTCCCGCTCAGAGCAGCCAATCCACAGAGAAGACCATATGGTCAACCCCACTATGAGACACAAGATCCCTCACTGACCCATAGCCCTACAGGGGACAGCACTGGAGACACAGTGTGGGAATTCCGCCAGATTCCACCACACCGAGGCAAAACACTAAGGACGTGCAACAGAACAGAAAGGGTACAGAGCAATGGTACAGAGCAATGAAGTCCCCAGGGAGGTACAGAGCAATGGTACAGAGCAATGAAGTCCCCAGGGAATACCAAAAATAGACTTTGGGGCCAGGGCTTGGCCACCCCCATCAGATTCGACTGGAAACCACTCCTAAAAGCCAACACACAGTCCTTGAACTAACTACAACCTTTTCTTTCTTGTTGTGTTTTGTTTTTTTGTCATTGGCTTATTCTTTTGCTGCTTGGTTTTGCTC